CCTTGTCTCGCCACTCCTCCGCGGGCCAGCAGGCAGGAGGGGCCTCCCAGAAGCTGCTTCTTCCTACTTCTGAAGCAGCTCTCAGAGCCCTTGTTCACTGTGCTGTCACAGTCACCTTGACATCCCATTTGATTCACAGTGTTCACCTTCTGTGGTCATACTGACTTCAGGGAAGAATCGCTCGGTGCCAGGCCCAGGGGACAGGCTGTAAGGACGCTGCTGTCCCTATGAGCCTGGCTCCCACCAGTGACACGGGGAAGAGGACGTGCACAGCTGCTCCAAGTGGCAACAACAATGGGATAAGTTCGTTCACAGCAGGGGAGTATTCGGAGGAGGACTGATGGCACTGTGGCTTTTACTGTACTAAATATTTAAAAGCTTAAATGTACCTCATAAATACAGAGCATTACTCTTTGTCACATCCTAGTTTTTCCAATTGGTCTTTTGTGCTTTAATTCCTAGCGCTGCCTCTTGGGTGGGCTCCTTCTGCAGCACACTGCCTTGAGACGAGACAGCTCACGCAGAACAGGAACGCCCTGTGCATAGTCCCAGCCGGCAAGTCCTAGCCGAAGGCGGCAGCACGGCAGGCGTCTGCTCGGGGCTGCTCCGTGCTCTCAAGGCTCTGCCCTGTCTGCCACATTCTCCGGGGAAGGGGAGCGCTGCACACTCCCTGGCAGAAGAGAGCCCCTCATGAAAGCCACTTCGTAATGACGCTAATCCCCGAGCGTGGGGCCCTCATGGTCTAATCACGCTCCATCCTGGCACTGTCACACTGGCTGCTGAATTTCAGCATTAGCTTTGGAGGAGACATATGAACCACAGTATTGACAATCATCATTCACATAAATGGTCATGAGGTACTCCAATGTGCCAGCATGTTTGCTTGGGCTTAGTGTTAAAAAGAAAATGCAGGGCCTGGAGAGATAGCTCAGTGGTCTAAGTGCTTGCCTGGTAAGCACAAGGATCCAGGTTCGATCCTTAGTACTCATGCCGTGCTGGCCCCGGAACCCTGGGTGCATGGCCACCAAAACTGAGCGAGGTGACGCAGGCCTGTAATCCCACACAGGCCTGTGTCACCATGCTCATATTTGGGAGGCTAAGGCAAGTTGCCTCAAGCTTGAGGACAGCCTGGGCTATGCAGTGAGTTCAAGGCCAGCCTGGACTAATCTCAGAAACAAACAAACAAGCAAACAAAGAAATCACTTTGTGGCTGAATTATGCCCGTAAGCTGAATAACCCTAGAATGTGACTGTGCACACAGGGCCTATAAAGAAGAGAAGTTAAAATGCAGGGTTCAAGTGGGCTCCGGTCCAATCTCACAGGTGTACTGATCAGAGCACACGTGGGGACACGGGGAGGTACACACAGGGGACAGACCACGTGAAGATACACGAAGGCACGTAGCTGTCAGAGAAACTGAGGCTGCCAGGGCTTCAATCTTAGGACTCACGCCTCCAGAACTATGAGAGAACAGGTATCCGCTATTTGTTAGTACAAAGGACTACAGTAGTACGTGTGCTGCCAAAGCGAGCACAAAAGGATTCTATTAATTAAAACAATATTTAAAAAATATAGAGAACTACGCCCCTTTTATATAAAAGAAGTACCACACTGTGCACAGCTTACAAGCCTGTGGAGCGCCCACAGCCGTGCCACCCTTTCAGGGCAGTGCTGTCTGCGCCTTCTCTTTTCTTTGGCAAATCTTGGTTAAGCTGTGTGTTTCTCCTTAAGCTTTCTGAAAACTAAGTTTTCCCTTTTTATCCTATGACTAACTCCAGATACAAATGCCACAATGAGAGTCACTTAGCAAATGGATTTGAGTGCACTATGCACAGATCAAGAAAGCTGAAGGGCTGGGGACATGGCTTAGAGTGCTTGCCTGTCACACATGAAGCCGGCTGTAAACCCCAGCCCTGCAGAAAGGAGGGAGGGAAGAGAGAGGGGCGGAGACAGGAAGGAGGAGGGAAATGGAAAGAAAGGAAATAAAAAGAAAAAAGGAAAGAAGGAAAAGAAAAAAGAAGAGAAGACAGGCAGGCAAGAATAAAGAAGGCAGCACTGCGAACGTGTGCAGGGGCAGAAGAGCTCAAGACGTCAAAAAAAAAAAAAAAAAAAAACAACAACTCAGGATCATGTAAACACGCCCCATAATCCAGAGCTTTGCTTTACTGTGTGCTGTTCCTGCTTGCTGCTGCGCCTGTGACTTGGGCACCGCACTTGCTGAGGGATCAGAACGGCACAACAACTAATCTGATATGGGAACAAAGAGGGACAAATATAGAGTTAAAAAATAGAGAATCACACACTAGAATTGTGCAAACCCTGTCAGATGACACCGCACAACAGCGAATGAAGGGTGAACTTTTAAGTTTGTACTGAGCCTTACATTTAGAAAAACATCAAATCTGATCCCTCAGCAAGTGCGGTGCCCAAGTCAATGGCAGGGAAGTCACAGGCGCAGCAGCAAGCAGGAACAACACACAGTAAAGCAAAGCTCTGGATTATGGGGCGTGTTTACGATCCTGAGATTTTTTTTTTTTTTTTTTAATATATTAACTATAAAGGAAACCACTGACAAAGCGAGCTTACTGAAAGACACCATTAGGGATTTATATCCAGCATAGTAAAAGAAAAGCAACAAAAAGCACAAAAGAACAAAAACAACCAAAAGTCCCAACATCCTTTAGGGGCTGGATCTGATACAGCGTGTTTAGCATTGTGAAGGGGCTTAAAACTCAGTACCAAAATCAAAAAACAAAAAGGTAAAGTAAAACCCAGGGGAAGAGAAGTGGATAGACAATTTACAAATGTGAATATCTTAGTGCTAACTCACATACAGAAGAACGGCTCAATCTCACTAGCCAACACCGAAGAGAAATGAAAGCCCCCACGCAAAGACACAATGCATTTGTCAAGATGGTTAAAGAGAATACAAAATACTGGCCAAGATATGGCGCAACTGCACATCTCCTATATTCCTAGTGACAAGGCGAATTGCCACTATCTCTTAAGGAACACGTTTAGTAGTATCAACTTACGTGACTAAAAACACATGGCACAGGGCCAGCTATGAGATAGCTCAGTGGTCTGAAGCACCTGCTTAGAAGCAAGCTTAAGCAAGCACTCAGGGACTGTGGTTCAATCCCCGCATGACATTCTGCGCCAGCCCCGCCCCCAGGGCAGGCTGAGCAGACCACAAAAAACCAAACAAAAGCCCCATATAGAACAATACTCTCTTAGATACAGGTATAAATCCAACAGATGTACGGACATATTTTATACACGAACATGAGCACACATCCCCAGCAGCCACCAACCAGCACCGCTGTGGTCATCTAGCAATATGAGAGCAGACAGTGGCTCACGCATTCTGGGCCGATGCGCTCGTGCGCCTGCACAGCAGTGAAGAGTCAGCTGCAGCCGCACAGCCACAACCTGCGCAGCGCACGTGGCGCCTGGCGGGGTCAGCCAACACGCACAGAAGCACACACTCCACAAACTCCATTTATATAAAAGAGTTACACAAACAATGTTGATGAGTATAGGAAAGCAGTGCGGAACGCTGGGATCACAGGGGCACCTGCACGTGGGGGAGGCTGCTGACCAGATGGTGCGAGGACACTTCCTGGGCCCAGCTATGCTGTCTTCACCGAAGCAGGCACCTCGTACATGGATTTTTTTTTTTTTTGGTAGTATTTATTAACTTTTTGGTCGGCTTACTTTTTTACACGTAGTACACTTTAATACAGAAGTTTAAATTAAAAGAAAGAAACTTCCCAACAGTTTCTCATGCGGTACAACAGAGTTTTTCTTGTGAAAACTGGCTCCTACCTTTCATCACTTTACCAAGAAGCATTAATACATGAGTGCGCATGATGTGGTGTGCTCAGAAAAAGTGGAAAAGGTCAACTCTGCTTCGGGCTAAACACTTCTTCTAAAACTTCATAACACAGTTGACATGAAGAACAAAATTCAATGAGTGAACGCGTTGTCAGCCAGAGTCTTAATACCAAAGAGATCTTAAGAGACCACATAATCTGTCTGGAGGCTCTTGCAAGTGAGGAAACGCTGGCAGACAGTAGAACGACTTTCCAGGGCCTGTGAGAGTTATTTTATAGCACTGAATCTATTACTCTTTCTGTTGTAGTATAATTCCTTTGAAACTATATGTAAAAAATAGAGAAATGTCTCTTGTACGACAACAAAAAATGTAAGAAAAAGAAAATGGCCAAGATAGCCCAGATGTTCGCTGCTCACAGTATGCAGTAAATAAACGTGCGCAAGCCGCCGATCCAGTACAATGGCGCAGCAAGTGTGAACCTGCACAAGCAAGAGGCTACCTCCACACTCAGCACCCGGGACGGGCGGGGATCTGTCTCTCCCGCCAGTGCTCTGTGTTGCGTACTAAGAAAGCAGCCTACAGCGTGAAAGCAGTGGAGGGAAGCAAAGGAAGCGCCTGCGGGCGCCACAGCACGGTCGCCACGGAAGTGCTGAGACGTGAGGTGGGCCGGGGACAGAGCCACCGGGACTGAGTGTGCACAGGCACCAAGCCACGGGAAAAGCGCATCTTTCAAGACCAATGGGAAATTCAGCATAAAGAAGCCATAGGGCCTTTATCAGAAGCCGTGGCTGACGCACCTCAGTTCCTGGCATTCAGCAGTGAGGCGGGTGAGGAGCGCCCACGCGAGCGCCTGGCCGTCGTCCCCTTCATGAAATTTACTGCGATGCTTAATGTTCTGCAGCAAGAGCTGGTCCAAGCACTCCAGGGCCTTCTCCTGCGCTGTGCTCTCGCAGTCCATCACTGCGGGGATGACCCCGGACAGCCAGGCTTTCTGAACTGGCACACACCTGGGCTGGGCCTGAACATTGGAAAATTAAACCAGAGGTCTGAACACAAGTCGAAACACAAAAACATCTAAATATCAGTCAGTGAGGTGGTTAAGAACATTGTGAAAGATATGTTAAAATGATCACTCCTGTATGTCCACAGGACTCCACCTGCCTGAGCCGGGGGTGTGATCCCTAACGCCACACTGCTACCAAAGCTCCAAAACACCCAACAAAAAACATGCTAGGAACTATGAATGCAAGCAGCCTATAAAAGAAAATCTAAAAAAAATACAAGAACAAAGCCAATCTCTAGGTTATCATAAATCTGTGCATACTGAAATCTTAAACTTGTGCATTAAACACATTTCATTATTATAAAAATGTAAGTCAGTAGTTTTTGGTCATCCAGAATCAAGAAAAAGATTTATCCCAAAGAATTAGAATGCTGAAGGTAAAAAACAGACATTGCTTAATGCCATCACAGAAATAGGGGAATAAATATGCTTTCTGAATTCTTTAACAGCTATTTAGCTGGCACAAGTAAGTATACGGTGCCGGAGAACCATCTCTTTCGGCACTACTATCCATACACAAGTACGCATCCTATGCAAAAACTAACCTGGGACTTGAGCTTTAGCACACTAATTTTAAAATTCCTTTTTCTTTTCCTTTTTTCTTTTTTTTTTTTTTTGGTGGAACCTGGGATTGAACTCAGGCCCTTGCATCTGCCAGGGGAGCACTTACTGTACTGAGCCATCTCCCGGCCCCCTAAGATTCCGTTTCTAACACAACTTAAGATGGCAGCAAGCACAGGGTCAGCACTGCCCCCTCAGCACTCGCTCCTACTCACATCTCCGGAAGTGTGGCCTACCACATGCCCTGAGGGACACTCTTCTCTTACCCCGCACAGCACTACGGTGGGTGGGGGTTTCTAACGGTCACCTTATCGTCTAGCAGCAGGTAATCACATAATATGCAGAATTTACATTTGTTTTCTCTTTTTGTGCTGGGACTGGGCTCAAGGGCCTCTGCATGCAAATCATGCTGTGGTGGTTCATCCTGACTATGATGGTTCATTCCATTTGTGTGGATTGAGAAACACCTGGAAAGTGAGTAAATCACACTGTGGCTATGTTTGTGAGGGTGTTTCCAGGGCCATTTGGCACATGAGAAAGCAAACTGAGGTGGACACCCACCCTGAACATGGCCAGCACCATCTAGTTGACTGGGAGCCAGAAGAAACCAAAGCAGGCGGAAGCCCACCAAGAGCGGTGCGAGCTGTGCCCTCCACCTGTCACCCTCCTCCCTCCCTCCCTCCCTCCCTCCCTCCCTTCCTCCC